TGTTCGATTCTTCTTGCCCTCTTGTTCTTGAGACTTGGGCTCTTCTCTCTTCTTTCTTCGGACAAGGGGTGGGATTAACTCTCCGTGGTACCACACATGCCTTAGCACTCCCCTTATCCCTACCTCGGCATTCGCCCTGAGTCCCGCGGGAAAACCACGGATCAAAAACCGCGGGCGAGGTAGTCTTCTTAAATTACCGACGATATCCCTTAAGGAGTCCCCGGATGTTCAGGGTTTGTCTTCAATGAATGTTCCCCTTGCAGTTTACTCTGCACAGTCACATTCGGAATCTTCTCCAAGGGCTCGCCAACTTTCTAAGCAAAATAAAACTTAACGGCAATAAAAGAAAACAACTTAATTTCAAAATAAAATTAACCTAATAGACTACGGGCTCTTAAGTTTCCTCTAACAACCTTTCTGAAAATGGGGCTAATCTATCAAGATGTACTATTTTATTCTTTCGCCCTGTCATACTCCGAATACAATAAACTACATCACTGAGTTTCTTTACAATTATGAAGGGTTCTTCCCAATTGCTTTGCAACTTAGTAGCCTTTCCCTTTTCTCTATGAGGATTGTAGAACCACACTTTCTGTCCCGTCTGAAATTGAATCTGCCTGGCCTTCCGATCGTACCAGGTTTTCATCTGAGAAGATTTTATCTTTATACGATTTCTTACAGCACTATGGATTTGCTCCAACTTTTCTTTGAGTTTCCCCACATAGCCTTCTTCTGAATTTTCTCCTGAAATTTCTGGCGGACTTTCTCTCAACAAGTCTACTGGTAACCTGAGATCTCGGGCAAAATAAGCTTCCGCCGGAGTCACCCCTGTGGTTTCATGTTTTGCGGATCTATAAGCCAATAAAAACATTGGAATCCAACGATCCCAATCTCTTTGATTTTCTGCAATAAACTTCGCCAAGTAATTTGTAATGGTTTGATGCTGGCGTTCCACTTGTCCATCAGATTGGGGATGTAAAGGGGTCGTTCTTGTTTTCTTTATTCCAAGCAAG